TTTTATGTGATTTAAAGGTATAATTCATTAAAAGTAAACAACCCTGACCCCCAAATTTAATGTTACTAGATGGAGCGGCGTTCGTACTACTAAATTTTAAAGGCGGACAAAGAGTAGTGAATGCCCACCATTGCTAACTGATGGTCCAAATTAAACCCAACATAACAAAGGACCAAATTAAGGCACGTGAAGGAAAATCCAGTAGTCTGCGTCAGTATGAGTAATTGTGGGTCAGAAAATTTATTTTACATTTATAATGCACAGCCAAGGTTTCTGGCTTTGTTTCAGTGGGCCACGGCTGTCGTTATTGCGATAATAAAGTTGATGCATGACAAAACTCCTGCATTAAAATTTTAAATTTATTTTAAATTATTAATTTAAATTTTAAATTTTTATTAAAAATTTAAATTATTTTATTTTAAATTATTAATTAAAATAAATTATTTATTTTTTTATGTGTTATATTGTTAAATTTAAATTTATTTTAAATTATTAAATCATAAATATTAACTGTTTGATTATTTATTAACAATTATAAGCACTAACACTATTTTTAATAGTTGAACAAAATATAAATATAGTTATATTGTATGACTTATTGACTTTAATAATTAATGATATGACAATAACCATGGGTAGATAAATAGCGTTTTGTTCCTTATGTATGTGCTCAGAAGGAAGTGGATTAATTAATATTTTGTCTATTTATATTTTTAAAATGCTCTTTTAAAAAAAATTAGTAGACTCAATTTTTAATTTACAATATTTAAATTTAGTTATCAATATTTTTAAAATATATTATTTAATATACTTATTCTTATTTTACCTATGTTTTAAAAAGATAATTACAAATATATTAAATAAAAAAATTTATTAATAAATTATTGCATCTTTAATTTATTAAATAAAAATTCTTAACAAAAATTATATATATGAATAAAACTTTTTAATTATTGTTTATATAAATTATTTAATTTTTATTTAAAAAATTAAAAAGTCAAAATAGAATTACTAAAAATGAATAAAGGGAGTATAAATAGATGTGTTTATTTGCTTGATTTAATTAATATATAGTTGATTAAAATATTTAAAAATACTAGTTTATAAATTAATTTTAAATTATTAAATCATAAATATTAACTGTTTGATTATTTATTAACAATTATAAGCACTAACACTATTTTTAATAGTTGAACAAA